ACAACCTTCCGTCCAATGAGTGGCGTTTAGGCAGGGTTGACGCGGTGTATCCCGGCTCTGGTGGCCATGTCCTCGTGATCGACATCCGCACCGCGCGAGGGCTCGTAAAGCGGCCCGTTGTTAAGGTCGTGCTTCTTCCGTTGGACGCGTCCGCCTACCCACAGTAATCAACATTTCTTCCGCTCCAATGTTCCTGTCCATTGTGCTGTCCTGTAGCTATGCCCGTATTTCCGAACCTTCATTTACACCGATTCTGATCATGTTATTTGTTCCTTTATCATATTTCCGTCAGCCATAGCCAACAAGATGTCGCCACGTCCACGCAACACCCACGCATCGCTGGAGAGCAGATATACTCGTGGTATTCAATCCTACCGTTGCCGAGTCTGCAATGGAATCCACGCCTTAAAGAAGTGTCGGCGCTTCCTACGCCTTAGCGCCGAGAAGCGGCTCCGAGCGGTTCTTGTGAACCGGTATTGCTCGAGCTGCCTGGCCCACGAGCACTCCGACGGATCCTGTCGTCGGGGTGACGGTTGTAAGACGTGTGGACAGGATCACCACACGCTGCTGCATCTCGTGAAGAAGCCGCGGGCTCGGCGCAAGGCACGCCAAGAGGAGCACCGGTCATGGAGCGCGGGAGTCAGGACACAGAGTGTCTCGTCTGGCGCCCGGCCGTCATCCGCCAACTCCCGGCGCGTTTCGAGTGCTCCTCGGCCTGGGTCCGCCACTTTCCGGCAATCCCAACCCGATCCACGGCCACCGACGTCCCGGCACTCGTCGCTACATCCTCGGCCTTCTTTCGCCACTCCTCGGTTGCCAACCACCGCTCATCCGCCCGCGTCATCCGCACCTAGGCAAAGTTCCGCCTCTCGTCGAGGGCCCCCGCTGGACGCGGTCGCTGCGCCCACCCTCTCATCGCTGCTGCAACGGAACAGCGTCAACGTGCTGCCGACTGCACTAGTGCGGATCGACACCGGGACCCGGAGCTTCGACACGGGGGCCCTCATCGACCCATGCACGCCCTCGAGCTGCATCGACGCCTCGCTCGCTGCGTGTTTCCGGCTGCCCACTACCAACGTGGGGGACGAACAGGTGTGTTCCGCCACCGTGGGGTCATCGACCAATGATAGCGTTCGGCTGGAGGTCATGTTTAAGATCGAGCCTCACGTGCGAGTTCGTACACCGTCCCGGGAGCTGAGCGAGGCGGTGCGTGCCCACTTCCGAGGCGTGACCCTGGCGGATGAGCGATTCCATCTGCCAGCGACAATTTCCGTCGTCCTGGGCGCAGATATGTACCCACGGATTATTCAACCGGGCTTCCTGAAGATCCAGGACGGACTGCCAGTGGCCCAGAGCACCGTGTTTGGATGGGTCGTGTCCGGAGCCTGCCATCAGCCATAACACCGAGGGAGCTATTGCAACCCGAGCGATTGCAAGGGGGGCGGAATGTTTAGGTGAGGGGCCGTGGTGCCACTCATCTGAAGAGCGCATCCGCGCTGAAGAGCGCACCCGCGCTAAAGAGCGCACCCACGCTTAAGAGCGCACCAGCGCTGAAGAGCGCGTCCACACTTTCCCCTCTGTGCCCTCTCTTCTCGCTCGTTGGTTGTCGGCGATCTCTTTTTGCGCTAATTTTTAAGTTGTTAATTCGATGTACGCAGGCAATAAAGCTGAACGCGTTTTTTGTATTTACACTGAAGACGCCTCCGACTTCTAATTTTCAACCCCATTCTGGAATCTTTTTTGCGGAACCCACGCACCCCTACACAAAATTTAAAAGACTAGACTGATGTTCTCTGGCCAAAAGCTGTGTGAACAAATCGACTGGAACATCAGCGCGGGTACACGAATTTTAAAAGAAGGTTTATTGGGCCTCATATATTTATATTTATGTTTAGCTATATTTTATACCTCCACCCATGATACAATTATAATAATTATATATTATATTATTATACAATTATATTATAATTGTATCATGCCTCCACCTTTATATCGGCTTTTGTTTTGGCTGTGATGTAAGCCGAGATATCAGGGCAGGCTGAGACACAAATATTTGTTTCGATGGAGGAATCACCTGTAAGGGTTTTGGTGTCGCAGGTACGAAAACTGATGTATCAGTTGGTACTGGTGGTCCGGACTGTGAAAAACCTTGTTGCGTGACTCTAACGAGGGTTTTATACACTAGGACCTGTGGTATCACTTGAAGGGATACCTCGGAGGAAATATCAGTGGCCAGAGATATAAGTGGTTGTGTTATTTTCGGCTGAGCAGGCTGAGGCGGATCACATAAAGCGGATTTCTTATTCTTAGGGCACTCATTTAGCAGCTGAAGGCCGCTTAACTGACTTAAACTCTTAGAGCTGGTCCAAGATTTTTTGAAAACCACTGACCAACTCTTTAAATCCGTTCTTAGTCTGTCTCATGAACGACCTCATTTTGTCTTGGACAGCACCACAATTATCACACCAATATTGGGGACCAGACCTACGGGAAATGGCATGCGAAACTGGGGCAGAGAGCCCAGCACAATTGATGGTATGCTTGAATAAGACAAATGCCTTATTATAAAACTTCATTGAGCAGACCAGCAAATATATAAAAAGTTTAAAAACAATGTACCTTAAACCACTGTGCCAAATAGAGCCGAAGCGAAAGCTTTAAAGAGAGCGATTGGAGTGGCCCAGGGAAATTGGAGAAATAGAGATAAGAACCTCTATTGCTCAAGAAAAAAAGAAAAGGAGCGGCCGAAGCAGAGTTGAGCTATGCTTGGATTGAAATTAAACAAATTATTAATTCGCCTCAAAATATACAAAATTACACGTGAAGCGATACCGTTTTTGTTAAAGTGAAGTTTCTCTAAATTCAAATTTTAAGTGAATAAAAACCGGTTTACAGCAATATTAATAATAAACTCAGTGAGCACAAAAAAGAACGACCGTTCGCTTAAGAAGAAGGAAAATAAGTTTTGTATATTGATAGGGTATATTGATATATAGTATATTTTTATTGTTTTAATATTTATTTCAACTAAATTTCTCTCAATGTATATATGTAAATGTTAATAGTTTAAGTTTTATATGCAAAAGCTACACCTTTGTTCAAATAAAAGAGTAAATATCGTGAGTCATTGTCCAATGATTCGCCTAGTCGGCCTACAATGGATCGGCCTACTACATCCTACAGCTGCCATATAACTGATTGGTCGGAAGTGGTATAACTTTGGTGTTTTTAGAGTTAGAAAGTTCAAATTACACGAGAACTATTTTTGACAAAATAATACGACATGCCAAATTTCATAAGGATCGGCCGACTATATCTTATAGCTGCCATATAACTGAACGATCGGAAATGGTTTTTGGTAGAAATATCAACTTTGGTATTTTTGAAGATAGAAGCTTGGGACTTTTGTTTAGATATTTTATTGTAACTAATTTGTTTTATTATGATATTCTCATAAGGAGCGGTCAACTATATCCGATGTTTGCGATATATATCCGGTTTTAACTGCAAGGGTATATCATCCTTGGATCCTCCCGAAGTTAGCTTTCCTTTCTTGTTTTTGAATATTTTAGTCCCCCTAAAAAGTCCCCATAGTTTCCCTTATCAATATGTTTGAGTTTAAGCTTATCTTGAATTGTAACCTTTTTGATCTTTAATCATTAAAATTAACTAAGCTTTATTTATTTGAACTGAGCTAATGTGCTGGCGGTCGTGGGTAAAAGAAGTCACCGCCTTGTTTATTCTTCTCTACTCTCTCCGTAAAAATTTATATCTTCTAAATATTTATACCGGTTTTTTCTTGAAAGAAGTTTGTTGCTAACTTACTCGATTCTGGACTTTAGATTATAAAGCAAGACCACCACCACCCAAGCTAACGACCAAGACCTGGACTTTATAGCATGCCCCAGCAAGAACGGGTCCTACTTCACCCACACCGTTACACACAGTTTTTTCAGTCAGTGTAAACGACATCTTGCTAAAAGTAATTTCGAAAGCCATCGTTGATGGTTGCCAAGAAAGTTGCTAAAAACATTTAGGAATGGAAAGAGGAAACTTTATCTAATAAATTATATATATTTTATTCAAAGAGTTATGACAGATTAAATAGGAATAAAAAACAAGAAAGGAAAGCTAACTTCGGGTGGAGCCCCAAAACCCCAAGCTTCTATCTTCAAAAATACAAAAGTTGGAATTTTTACTAAACAGCAAATACCGTTTCCGATCGTTAAGTTATACGGCAGCTATAAGATCGTTATGAAATTTGGTAGGTCGGATCAACTGACCAAAAATAGAACGAAGTTACGAAGTTCCAACTATCTTTGATAACACAAAAAGTGTGTCATTTCGGATCATTCAGTTATATGGCAGCTATATGTAGAATAGCCGATCAGCCGATCCTGGTAGGTCGTATTACTTTGCCAAAAATAGCATTCGTACAAAATCCATACACCGCAGTTATAGAATTTCCGATCAATCAGTTATATAGCAGCTATAAGATATAATCGGCCGATCCCGGCCGTTCCGACATATATACTGCGTACAAAAGAAAGAAGGATGTGTGCAAAGTTTCAAGTTGATAGTTCTAAAACAGAGACGGACAGACGGACGGACGGACAAACGGACATGCTTATATCAAATCAGGAGGTGATCCTGATCGACAATATATATACTTTATAGGGTCGGAGATGTCTCATTCACTGCGGTGTACACTTTTGAACAAAATTATAATACAGCCTGCAAGGGTAGATTGATGAGTTTAAGGATATCATATAAATAAAGGACAAAAATTAAAAACAGAAATTTCCATAGGAATCGGCTTATTTTACCCTATATTTGCAATATCCGATCCGATAAATATCTTACAAACTAACATTTAGCTCCAAGATTATATCTAACTCGGCTCTTGCTAGAGTTTTCTATTCTTTCTTGTTGTTATTAATATTAAAATTTTTATTATGTTGCAATTTTGTTTAATTCTGAAATTAAATAGGTAACGATACCTTTGAAAATTGGAGCAATTTTAAAAACACCTAGTCCTCCAATGGTTAACATCTGCCCCAACGCAAGTTCCATAAAAAACATAGGTATTCCAGCCAAAAATAACGTCAACATATATGGTAATAAAAAAGCGCCTCCTCCGTTTTTGTAGCACAAGTAAGGGAATCTCCAAACATTCCCCAAGCCAATTGCCAGTCCCACTACTGAGAGGATAAAATCCAACTTTGATGACCACGATCCACGTTCAGGCAGGGACTGAATTTTAATGAGCTGAAAAATAACAGTTTTACAATATTATTGTCAGCTTTTTGTAAATACCATCATTACGAATACATATGCGATATTAAGTAAAGAACAATGTATCCATAAATGCTAGAGGGAATAAATGTATAAATGTTTTGGTAAAACCGAGCAAGAGCACGCACTAGAATTCGCACTAGTGTATACAAACGATATTACGCTTTTTCAACAATAAAAATATTTTTCTGGCCAATTTACAAGGACAGAAATCAAACTTGCTCAACAAGAGTTCTCGATAGGAGATTATGTCGCGAAATTTCAACTCAGAACAAGGGTGCTTGTAGTAGTGGCGAGAGATACCTACGAGAAGACGTTAAAATATGTAGTAATAATAATGTTAATAATAATAATGTTAATAGTTACTATAACTATACTATACTATAACAATAGTTAATGTTAATAGTTAATAGTAATAATGTAATAATTCAATGTTAAATATGAAGATGACTTTGAAATCCAATTAAAGGAAAGTTTTAGCTCCGCAATTTATTTTTATTTTATTTATTTTGGCAATGTATTTTTTTCGGATTAATATAATTGAAAAACCTCATTGAGCAAATAGTCTGCATACATCAGTACTAGTGTTGCAGCACAAATGTGTAAGCTCGACCGACCCATAAGCATTGACAAATTCTTTTACTTAATAGGTATTTTAATTTAAGTACAAGAAGGAAAAACTATACAAAACCTTGTCTTTTTGCCGCTCGATAGTATCGCAATGTAACGGTACCCATTGTAGCCAAAATACCTTACTGCGTAATAGGACCATATATTAAAGGGATCCAAGCAGTATTTTTATATCGGCGGCAACAACTAGAGAGTTCGTTAAAGAAAAGTAAAGACTTTCTCCAGTCTTTAATACAAAGAGTAAACAGTAACAGGCCAAGATGACTTCCTTTTACATTTTTAAATAAGACTCCTTGTGTTCTTTCATCTATGTAGCTGGAGGTCCACGTGAAGAGGTCTCTAGGAAACCCCAGAAGATTGAGTTTACTCAAAAAGAGTGAGTGATTAACTGAATTGATTGCTTTACTGAAGTCTGTTTTAATAACATCAGATTGAAATATTTTTTGAAAGCCATCTATGACAAAGGATGTCAACTCCAGTAAATAAGTTTTGGTTGACATAGATGTTGCAAATAAAGAATAATTAATTTTTCAAATAACTTTGGAATTGCCGATCATTTACAGATGCATCTGTAGTTGACAGAACCGGACTTTTTTCCTTTTTATGTAAGGAGTCAGTCGCCTGGCGCCTGGCGAATAAACGTGTTAGACCCTTAGAAGATCTGAAAAGAAGCTATTCTCTGAGAAAGACGGACAGAAAATAAGATTTGCCGGTTGAATATTGTATGCTTAAAGCTGATCTGCCACTATTATGTTTGCGAATAGATCGGCAACGGCAAACCAGAGCTAGCAGATGAGAGCTAGCGTTTTTTTATAAGTTCGTGGGGCACCTTGTAAACCAAGGAGGATTTGTTGAAGCGGACGGATATTTCCTCGGCACACATGAGCCAAAAAAATTTATTAATTTGTGGTTAAATTTTCCTAAGCTGTTTTATATCGGTACATGCTGAAATATCCTGTGCACAAAAAAACTCGTCCGTTCGCTTAAGGGGAAGAAAGAGAATAGCCAGAAATTATATACTTCACTAAGCCGTAGTAAAAGCCGTAGCCGTAATTCACTATGTCCGTGAAAGCTTTATACATTACATGTTCATATATACCTATACATAACCGCCCACATATTGGCAGCATTTGTCCGCTATTCGATACGTCTCTAATCTTATGATGGATCGTGACCAACTCGTAGCGGTGGGCGACTTTAATATCCCAGAATTAAAGTGGTCCAACGTCGATAACTCACCATCTTTGTCACTTATAACTTACCATGACTTCACCGCGGGCATGTTTGACATGTCCCTAGGTCAGATCAATCATGTTAGAAATTCGCTAGGTCGGCTCTTAGACTTATGTTTTGTATCTGATCCTGGTGGTACCGCTCTCTCCAGAGCTTTTCCCCTTTCAACCCCAGAGAATCCATATCACCCCACGCTGGAGGTCTCAATCGAAACCACTCCTGGTATCGATCAGATGTCTCCGAGCATGGTAAATAAGATTCGCTGTTTCCGTAAAGCTGATTTTCAGAAACTTAATAGCCTTATCCATACATTTGACTGGTCTGATATTCTGGCGTGCACTGATCTTAACGTCACTTTAGAAAAATTTTATTTTACTTTAAATTCCTTTTTTTTACTCATGTGTGCCTTGGAAATATCCGTCCGCTTCAACAAATCCTCCTCGGTTTACAAGGTGCCTTACTAACTTAAAAAATAAAAAAAATAAGCTTTTACTTAAATATAAAAAAACCTGCAGTAGTGTTGATTTCCCAAGATACCTACTAGCTCGGTCGAATTTTACCGTGCATAACGCTGAATGTTATAGGAATTATATTGACCACTGCCGGATTCAATTTACTCAGGATCCAAAGCAGTTTTATAATTTTGTAAACACTAAGCGTAAACACGTATCTTTTTCACCCCTGCTTACGTTTGAAAACTCCTATGCGACTTCGGATTAGGCCATCGCCGATCTATTCGCAGAATTTTTTCAAACAACTTATTCTCCTCCTAAATTGACTGATCAGCCTTACGCATATAACATTCAAGCAGCAAATCTTATTTTTTGTCCGTTTTTTTCTGAGAACAACTTACTATCTGGTCTTTTAAGGGTAAACCCCATTTATTCGCCAGGCCCCGACGGAGTACCAGGCTGTGTGTTAAAATACTGCGCCAGGGTTCTGTGCAAACCTCTTCTAAGACTTTTCAACTTATCTTTGGAAACCTCGATTTTTCCCCTTAAGTGGAAGGAATCATTTATAATTCCCCTACATAAAAAAGGGGAAAAGTCCGAGGCTGCCAACTACAGAGGCATCTCTAAGTTGTCGGCAATTCCAAAGTTATTTGAAAAATTAATTACCCCTCATTTGCAACACCTTTGCTCTTCGATCATCACTCCTTGTCAGCATGGCTTTATTAAGCGTCGCTCCACCACCACAAACTTATTGGAGTTGACATCCTTTGTCATAGATGGCTATAGATTGTAAGGGATATCAACCGATGTAAATTACACAGACTGCAGCAAAGCATTTGATTCAGTTAATCACTCACTCTTGTTGTGTAAATTGAATATGCTGGGTTTTCCTAAAGACCTCTTAACGTGGATCTCCAGCTACTTAGATGGAAGGACACAAAGAGTCTTATTTAAAAACATACAGTCCCGTCTGGTCCGTGCTACATGCGGCGTCCCTCAAGGAAGTCATCTTGGCCCGTTATTATTTACGCTTTTTATAAACGACCTGCCCCCTGCTTTAACGAACTCTCTAGTTCTTATGTATGCAGATGATGTAAAGCTTTGTCTTCAGTACAAATCCATCTCTGCCCAATGCAGTCTTCAGTCTGACCTTGATAACTTTCAAAAATGGTGTTTGGTTAATGATCTAATACTTAATGGATCAAAATGCAAGTATATGTCTTTTTATCGTTCTTGCCTTCTGCAAGCTACTTATTCCATTAATGGGATTGCCTTAGAAAAATTAACCCAGGTTAATGATCTCGGCATCCTATTAGACATCAAACTTAAATTTGCCGACCATATTTCCTTAATGGTTAATAAGGCTAAAGGAGTCCTTGGTTTTATTAAAAGGTGGTCAAACGAATTTAATGACCCCTATATAACCAAAACTTTATTCATTTCTTTGGTCCGTCCTATACTAGAGTACGGTTCATGTGTCTGGAGTCCCCAATATGGAGTACATAAGGACCGCATAGAATCCGTACAAAAGAACTTTTTAATATTTGCACTTAGAGGTCTATACTGGGATGCAAATCTTCAGCTTCCATCCTACAGTAGCAGACATTAACTTGCTAATAAACTTACCTATCTTAACAAATCGTAGGACAATGCTCGGTGTAGTTTTTCTGCATAACCTGATTAACGGGGATGTAGATAGCCAGCATTTACTAACACGCTTAAATTTTAACATTCCTAATAGAAGGACTCGAAACTTTAGTTCTCTGTTCCTTAGCCGTTGTAGTTCGACATATGCACTGCATGACCCTTTTAGGGTATTATGTTCGAACTACAATGGTCTCTACTCTATTACATCTCTTTCCTGTCCCTCTAATTTAAAATATAGAATTTTAAATTTCCTTACTAACTCCTCTTAGCTTAACAAATTTCAATTAGCTTAATTTGTACCAAAAAATCGTTTCTCGAGCGCCCCTCGGTCGTCTGGGCCTCTAAGCTTTATGATGAATACAGGAATGCTAGCTGATGCTCTTATTGATGCACAAGCCATTTCCAAATTCTAAAAGACCGCGAACAAAAAAAAAAAAAAAAAATTTTGGAGCCGGCAGAGAAAATTTAGTTTTTCATGTCCTTCAGCGCCAAAGAACGTTTTTTTTGTTATGGTTTCTTATTTGATTTTTTTTAACCATTATCGGGTGAATTACAAAAGTTTATTTGATCGCAAAACTCAAATTGCATTTAAAGTCACTAACTATTCGTTGTCTTCAAATGAACTTAAGTTTTCTATGTCATAATCCACAGGAGTCGGGTTAAGCCGGAGGAAAGGGATATTGTTAGTTATTGTTAATAAGTAAGTATTCCATGAGTACAAAATATTACCAAGCTTACCTTCCAAGAATAAGCCCGATATTTTAATTATTTATGCTTTTTTTTATATCTAAGTTAATGTGACGTTAATGCGAGCGTGGCTTAACGCGTTACAAAGATTAGCGGAGCGACCAAGAACGATGAGACAGAGTGCGAACAAGAGAGACGGTCCCGAACAAGTCGGCAAGTGCAGCTGGCCGATCGAATGAAAATCGAAAGTGCAGCAATTCTGCGGTTTGCCAAGCTTTGTCTAAGTTTCCCGAATTATAGACGACTGCAAGACCCGATAAATAT